ATTAATATTTTTAACTAGAAATACAAGTGTTCCTTAAGTAATTGCATCTTAAAAATGAATCTTGTAAAATCTTTATACTTTGTTTAATAACTACAAAAACATAAGCCCCTTTGCTTGTGACTGATTTTCAAATGTCAAATCTTTTTCTAATAATTGTAATATTTAGAAGAACCATTTTTTTTTTGCTATGTCTATTATACTTTTTTTTATGAACGTTATAAGAAAATAAAACCAAATTATTTATAGCGTAGCCATTAATATATAAAGGATGAAGACTAGAGTGTGACATACACTGTTTTATAAAACAATTGCTTTAAAAGAAATAATGTAATAAAAAACCAAATTCCCTCCATAATTCTTGAACTCTGCTCTCTGGTACAGTCATGCCCAAAAAAATCTCATGTAAATGATGGCAAATTCATAAGGCAGCAGAAAGCAAAATGCATAAACCAATTTGAGTCGACGTTTCTGATCGTCGCTGGTCGGCTGGGTCAGATGTCAGATACGTATATCTGAATACGAAAGCCTCTAGCATCCGCCCCCCTGTTCGAGTGTGCATCATGTAAAGGGGGTAGACTGGCAAGAACAAGAACAGTAAGTACCAGGCAAGTGTGGACCCCAAAGTGCCATGGAGAATTAACGAAACGAAAATGGGTAAAAAACTATACATCTTTGTCAGGGCAGAGGCAGAATATACCAAGTGGATGGATAGGGGAAAAGCCCGGCTCCGGGTTCGGGTACGTTTACGATTACGACTACGGGTCGACTTGCAGACTTTGTCTCGTGGGCAGTAGATTTCGAAATGTACACTGAAAGCATACCCCTCTGGGATAAATACTTAATTTATATTTGAAGCTTTACGTTTACTAAAATTATTTTATGTTAAATATTAATATAAAAATAAGCTAAGAATCTATAGACCCTTTGGAGAAATTTTTTAAAAATATTTAAATTTTGAAATTCTAATGCTGGACAGCCTACCCATTTATAGATCGTCATCGCTCAGTGTGTTCATGATCATAAGTCGAGGTTTTTCCTTCTTGTATGTTTTATTTGTTTTCGCTGAACACTGAGAGCGAGAACAAATAGCGACAACCGAGGCAGAAGTGGAACTAAAATACAAAAACTATTTGATATTTTATGCGGGATTTAAATTGATCTTAACGAAGCTTAATTGGACGCGTCAGTATGGGTGAGCGGTGCTCTGGACTCTGACTCCGACACGACTGAGAGTGCGCGAGTGTGTGTGTGAGCGGGGCTTGAGCCCGCCATATTGGAATTTCGTTGTGCGAACTGATCGCAATCGCCGAACCAAGTAAACCCGAAAGGGAATGGGCGAAACATGCATGGCACATTGCGCACTGAATCGTTGCCACATATAGTAGATATATACATAGTAGATATATGGGGAAAGGCATAACAAAATGTCGTCGCTGTTGTCGCTGCCTCCGCTGATATCGTAATACAATGTGATAATGTCGCTGTCACCGAGGATGAGAGAATGTCGGTGATGCTACTGCACCGAAAGAAAGTAGGTGCTCAAGTTCTTAAATAAAGTTTACATTATTTTAAAACGAAAAATATTAATGAGTTCTTAAAGATTCTTAAAAATTCTCATAATATTTTATACTTCTTGTAAATGCGAATATAAATGCCGAAAATATTTTGAAGTCAGTTAAGGAATCAACCTTATATAATTTCAAGGGAATAATATGTTTTGCTAATAATTTTTTCTGGGTGTTGCCGTTGTCAGTGTTGATTTTTCTTCTGAGGATGGACTGTCATCTCGGTGGGACAAGTGTGGATGCGATGATGATGATGATGGTGGCGATAGGCTTGAGTATCTGTCTACCCCTCATTCAGTGTATCTGTCTGTCTGTCCGCCTGTCTACCAGTGTGTGTATGTTAATGGTTATGGAAAAAATATGAAAAAATATTCAACAAAAGCTTAGGCGCTCACTTTGCCGGGAAGCGACAACTGTACCGAGAATTTTCAATAGATGTGGTTCTTAACAAGCCCAACTGAAAAACACTATGGAAATACTATACTATACTACTATATACTTTTTATCTTAATGTTAAGTGAAAAGGAGATATCAGCTAACAAGCTACTCTCCATTAACTTGGATATGTAAATACGGATTTCTATTTTATGAAATGAAAAGACTTTTTATCATCAATATATTGGATAGCCCAATAACTTTAGACATTAAGACAAAACTTATATGGTGGAAATAAGAAAAAATCATGGAAAAACAAGATCTATACAAAATGAAGATCCTTAGACAAAACTTTCACCAATTTACCCGCAATTTAAGGAACTCTTTTTCGGGCTAATTAAGATGGCATCAGCTGTCTGCAAAATCCCCGCTCATTTATCTCCTATCTCTTTGGAAACCGCCTGATTACCTTTATCCTGATATAACCTCCTTAAGTTCAAGGTTCAATCGTAATTAACTTTTGATCTTACTCAAGATGCTATCATCATTGCTTGAGTTTTCTCCCTGACTGTGTCCTTGCTGTTTCCCGCAAACCCCTTTTCGAGTGTTCGATCCCAAGCCCACATAATTGGCGCATTGGCTAATTCAAAATATTGTCTGATTATTCACACGCAACAAGAGTCCGACACCGACCCCGACCCCGATCCCGTCTCCTTGCCCTCATGGACCATCCCTCCCATTCCGGGTCGCGACCCAGTACCCACAGTATGGGGTGTATTTATTTGTTTTCATCCTTCGGCTATGATCGCGTGTCCCGCGCCCATTCTCAAAGACCTATATTTCGATTCCAATTCCGCTGCCCGCATTTTGGAACCTGCAAAGCCGAAAAGTATCGAATTGTCCGGCTCTGCCTGTGTGAAAGAGATTTTATGTAGTTTCCGAATGAAATTCGGTGGGTTTTATTTTTCTTCTTCGAGGATACGATGGGAACATTGTCGATCCTTTGTGAGCTCCTGGGAAGTTGAAGTTTCTTTGCTGTTTTCACTCGACTCAATGCGGGCTTGTGTTTGCTGAACTTTTTATTTTGATTTTAAGTCGATATCTACTTTTTTTAAAAGCTTGTATTATTTAAAATAAAAAAAAACAAAGGATATAAAATTAAAGAAAAATAAAATAAAAGTTTTTGGCAATTGTTCACAATAGATGTTGAACAATTGATAGAAGGTTTTTTTCTATATGCCTCTTTTTATATTTTTAAAATGTCTATAATATATATTTTTATCAAATGGCTAAGAAATATTTTAAGCCAGTCTTATTTGCAACGTAAAAATATACTTTGCACACTTTTTTTTTTTAATATTCGGTATTTTTCTGATGAAGTTCTAAAATTCAGAATGTTTACAAATTTTACAGCACAACCCTCCGTTTCTTTAAGATCATTGATCTCAATCTCTATATAAATGTAACATTCTACCCACTTTCACCCTCCTTGACTTCATCGACCCACATGATTCTGCATCCTTCTTCCCTCCCCATTTAAATGCCCCGTGAAATCTTCAGATCTATCCAAATGAGCCATAACTTAGCCCCTGACTAAGTGGCCACCTCGCCGCGATCGAAGTACCAGCATTTGGCCAAAAGGTCATACGCAACTCCGGAACGGAGTATGAATATGCCAATCCTTCAGAGGGTGACACGCGCTGTGGGAACAACACGAAAAGAGAGTGGGAACAGCCAGAAGTGGAAGACGAAGGTCGCAAGCGTGCCAAGTCCATCCCTCACAGTGGTTGCAAGTTCGGATCGAATCACCCTTATCATTCCAATTGGAACCCTGACCACCAGCGAAATTCCTCTGCTCTCGAACGAGTAAAAAGTTAATTGTTCGTTCGACATGTGTGACGATGAAGGTGGATTGTTTGGGATGACCATGGGCACATGAGGTGGTTGTGGAATAGGGGGCCAAACTCTAAACTCTAAAAGCGAAATGTTCAGTTAGAATGGTAATAATTTGCATTCTTATCTCTTATATATATAGAACATGTATCACATTTGTTTTCTGCTTGTACTGTTAAATACTTTTGTTTATAAAGAGGCTGTATCATCGAACATGAAGTCATCAACGAAAGCAAACCATGATTTATATAATGATGAGTCCGAAAGGACTTCAGCTTTCTAGCTTATTAAATTAAATATAATCAATGTGATGGCTTTGTTAAAGCTGTAAAAGATCATGTAAAGTTTTGGGTTTCAAATTAATCCACGATTAAATTATCTTCAAACGAAATTTTGTTTGTCAGTCCTCTTAATTAATATTCTGATTCCACTACAAATATTGCAAATTTGATCAGAGTTTTTTAAAAGAGAGAATTAATTGTTAAGTTTATAGCTTTTCGAGTTTTCTGGGCTAAAGTCATGTTAAGCTTTATCTGATTAAAAACATGGCATCCGAAATAATCTTAGTGTTATACAAATAGTACAATTCTTTTGTTTTTTATGCTGTTCCCTTATCAATACCAAAAAATTTTGTGTAACTTTAAATAATTTAACAAAACCTGAAAGAGGTATTTAAATTAAAAGCTGTGAGCAATTTAACCCAAGACCTAAATTAAATGTCTTCCAATCTTTTAACATTCTTCTTGACTGAACCTGGATTTCCTAAACGTGTAAGCAACCAATCCCTTGGAGTCCTTAAACTGATTTTTAAACTGAGACCTTAAAGAAACGAAAGTGCCGTTCCCAGGACCCTCGACTCTCGTGCTTTTCCGTTCCCAGAGCGTTGGGATCTGCTGGTAGCGGTGCGCATCCGAAGCTGAAACCAAAAACTGGACACAGGCAGCTAGACCCAGTCGGAAAAAAGCAAAAGAAGTGTGTATGTAGGGGGAGACCACACCCCGAATCGCGAGGGAAACGGAAAAGTCACACGCGCCAGCATGAAATGCATAGAGCAGCGGGCAGTCGCTCCATCTCGCTTGCGCAGCGGCAATGGCCGCCGTTGGAGCGATGCGATTGGTCGCTGCCGGCGCTGCTGCTGCGCTGCCTAGTGCGCCGGTATAAAAGGACAATCATCGCCAGTAGCCGAGTCAATTAAGGCCAAAGACTCGAGCGGTGAGCAGGCGCTATCCAAGCTATCAGAGTGTGAATTATAGTAACTGACAAACCAACAAGTAATGTTTTTGCCAAATGCAATTAAGTGATTTGCAAAGGCAAATTTAAAACTCACCAGTGAAACAAAAGCAAAACTAATTATATCAAAATCTCGAAACGATCAATGGATTATAGACGGCTCTAGCCAAAGTTTAGCTAGTGGTTTTTGTGAGTAGTGATTGTGTCTTGAGGATAAAGATCTAGACGATGGAGCACGACAGCTTCGATGATCCCATTTTCGGGGAGTTTGGCGGCGGTCCACTGAACCCGTTGGGCGCCAAACCGCTAATGCCCACCTCAACGGCCATGCATCCCGTGATGCTGGGCAGTGTCCACGAGTTGTGCAGCCAGCAGCAGCAACAACGACTGCCCGACTGCAACACCATCCTGCCGAACGGAGGAGGAGGAGGTGGAGGAGGGGGAGGATCAGGACCCGGAGGATCTCCCAACTATGTGACCAAACTGGATTTTGTGAACAAGATTGGCTGCTATTCGCCCAGTCAAAAGTACGAGTATATTAGTGCCCCTCAAAAGCTGGTTGAGCAGCAGCAGCAGCAGCACCACCACCAGCACCATCAGCACTACACGGCCACGCCCCCGCCCAGCCACAATGGCATCCTGCTGCACAAGCAGTCTGCCCAGCAACAGCAACAACAGCTGGTGGGCATCCTCGACTATCATCCGCTCAATGGCAAACTGGACTACTCCTCCTCGCCCAAGGACCAGTACGAGCCGCAGCAACAGCAACTGCAGCATCTGTACGGCGGCAGTCCGCATCATTTGGATCATCTGGATCATGGCAGCGATGGCCTGCTCCAGGACTCCTCGCCGGTGATGATCAACGGAGGATCCGCGACGGGCAAGCTCAAGAAAAACTCACTCGATGAGATGTGCCCACAAATGGAGGCAGGTGGACCAGGAGTCACGCCACCAACTTGTTCCTCGGCGGTGGGTAATGGGGTGGCAGGAACAACCAACGGTACCGCCAACTCCACTTCCACTGCCGCCGCCGGCGGCCAGGGGGCGGCGGTCACAGCGGGAGGCGTGGCAGCTCCTGCTCCGAAAAAGGATAGCAACAGCAGCAAGAAGAAGGGAGATCCCAACGGCATCAAGAAGAAGAAAACGAGGTAAGCAGACGGCACACATAATTCTTATCGTCTGTCAATTAATTTAACGACGGGAAATCAATGAAATTATGTGGCCCACGATGATAATACTTCCTATTTATAACGGTAGCCACGGGACGTATGAGTAATTTCAAGTAAGGATATGGCCAAGGCCCAGGGGGAAGTCCATGCAATCTGGGGGGCTAATTTGCTAATGAACTCAGTCAACGGAGGTGGATACTGCTGCAGAGCCCTACTGAACTAACTTTTATAGGAAAAATTTAATCTTATTATGATGGTAGGATAACAATGTATATTGTTGTAGATTTATTAACATTGTCATTGCTTGGGATATGTTAGAGCTCTGAATAATTTTAAAACTGTTTAGCTTCCGCATCTTTTAAAATATTCATACAATTAAAGTGTTATCCAAATACTCGACTGAAATAAATATCATGAAAATGCATTCATATTCTGTTAAATTATTATTATTCATTAATTTGAAATTTAGGAATACACTTTAGAAAATCCCCACTTAGTTAGGTTCTGTCACAATTATGAACTTATGATTTTATACATTTTTTAAAATGTACTTTGAAAGGTTGTTTACCTTTTGTTAGAAATAAAAAGATTTCCTGCCGTAAAATTATTTAGATCCTATGAAGATTCCCAGCCCAACTAATAATTAAATCATAATTATTTATTCTTTTTATTTTAGAACCACCTTTACGGCTTACCAGTTGGAAGAGTTGGAGCGCGCTTTCGAGCGAGCTCCGTATCCGGATGTCTTCGCCCGCGAGGAGCTGGCCATCAAGCTGAATCTGAGCGAGTCCCGAGTACAAGTGTGGTTCCAGAACCGACGGGCCAAGTGGCGCAAGCACGAACCACCCCGCAAGACGGGCTACATCAAGACGAGCACGCCGCCGACGGCTACGCTCAATCCCGGAACTCTAGCCCCCCCGTTCACCAGCTATCCGCAGACGACGACGGTTACGCCGCCGGGCAGCATGGACAGCTGGACCAGCTACCAGACGCCCTACGAGCTGACGCCCCAGTTCAGCCTGCTCTCGCCGGCGGCTAGTCCGTATGGCACCTATTCCGGCCAATACGGAGCCTATGTCCACGAAAGCCAGCTGTTCCCGATGCGGCACTACGAGTACGGCAGTCCGACGCGCATGGAAATGGGCGCCACTTCCGGTTCGGTGGCCGGAAACGGAGAGGAGGCGGTCGCCAATGGCGGAAGCTATCAGCCGGCGGAGCTGCAGGCCGCCCAGCAGCAGCAACATCTGCCCGACGGCACTCTGGTCACCGTCCATGCCCACCAGCAGCAACAGCAGCAACAGCAGGCACAGCAGCAACAGCAACTCAACGGCAAGTACCTGAGCGCCGATGAGGCCAAGTATGTGCATCTCCAGTGCCATCAAAGTGGCGCCGGCTTGGAGCTGAGTCCTGGCGCCAGCTGCCACCTTGTGGAGGCCCAGGGTCAGCACTACGTGACCACAGCGGCGGGAGGAGCTGTATCCGGGGGGACCAGCAGCGATGACAACGACAGCGGCGGCATGCAGACTGTGATCAAAAGCGAGGAGGCCGCCCAGCAGCAGCAGCAGCAGGCACAGAGCTACGTCCTGCCGCCTTTTTTGCACTAAGGGAAATGCTCACACACCGGCGACAGCAGCAACATCAGCGGCGCTGGGCCACGCCCCCAAGCCTGTCGAGCGTCCGCTTTCGGCGGCCATACTAAAAGGGGCGTAGGGTGTGCAGCATTTCAACGTGTGTGTTTCCCCTCGACTGAAAGTGGGTCTCCAGAAATGCAGTTACCAAAAGCCAAAGCCTAAGAATTAGTAATATTTTACATCACACCAGCAGTTTACTTAAGTGTAGATTAAATCTCAATGAATGATCATGAGATTTTGAACCCAACTGCTTTTCAAATTAGTCAATTATTAATCAATGCTTTGGAAAACATTATTTAATTCAGTTAACACTCTACCAGCAAAGAGTTTTTCTGGCCAGTCCCACTCAGTACCACTATTTTCATATTGCCATAGGTTCCTTTTAGGTTTAATTACGCAAGTTGCAACAACAACAGAATCAATAAGTCTTGCCAAAACTTAACGCGGTTTTTGTTCAGTCTAAGTCTAGGTTAATTAAGGGTCAAGGGTTCAGGAAACGAGAGCCCCACCCCCAGAATGCATTCCAAATGTGCCTTACCAAACGGGTGACGAGAGGATTCCCAGCTAGAACCTCCGTCCCCCAACAAACTTAGTTGTAGTTCCCTACGCCTAAGTGAAACCCCATTTACTGTTGTGTAGTTAGACAATAAAATGCTTTTTATATTGTATATTAGCTCATTTGGCTTTACAAAATTATTACTTACTAATTTATCCATACCATTTTGTATATCGGTTTGAAAGTTTTGTTATACCTAAATCTAGTAATCTAGTTTAAATCTATAATTGTAAGCAATACAGTAATAGACGTATGAATAAATTGTATTTTGTACCAATAATTGATTATAATTATAGTCAAAACTGCCTACATATTCAAAGAAATAACAAAACAAAATGATTACAAACAAAACAAAGGGCATTCCTTCGGCAATCCTTTATAATTTTGTTTATCATATTCAAAGCAGGGACTACAGAAATATTTCGTAAAGCAGACAAACGCAAATCATAAATAATCGCTTCAAAAAGATTCAGATTCGTTAAAAAAAAGCAAAGCACAATATTCACAAAAGAGACCAATGAATTTCCCTGGTATCTATCTCAGGTACAAGAAATAATAAAATACTTGAGAAGTTTTAAAGATTCAAAGCAAAAATAACTAAAAGTGTAAGCAAGTAGAGGTTATTTTCACGTGGACACAGTTCCCTGTTCCAATACTGCTTGCCAATCTATTCCCTTGAAAAAGGCATGTTTTTGCAATTGCTCGTAGTCCAAACGAAGCTCCGGCGTTATTTGTAATAGCTGCTCCAGTAGGTCCTTAGCATGGTCGGAAATCTCCAAGGATGCGCTTGGAAACTGGACACAGCCATACAGTTCCAGCTGCCCTGGATGTGTGGCTTTGTAAGGCTAGAAAAAGCATATATATTTAATGAAACTAAGAGAATCCAAGAAGAGAACTTAAACTTACCACTCCCAGGAGAAGCTGATAGAGGACCACGCCATAGCTCCACCAGTCCGAACGGAAGCTCAGAGGTCTCTCTGGAGCCACAAAGTGATTGTCCAACGCCTCCAAACTAAGTGCCTTGTGCACGTAGTTGTCGTCCGAGCTTAGACCTTCGTTCTGGTGAAAATACGTGAGTATCAGCTGGCCCTTGGCGCCCAGCAATATGTTGGCCATGTGCAGATCCCTCAGGATCACGCCCTTGCCGTGCAGACTGTGTATGGCGATGGCCAGTTCGCAGGCCCATTGACGCAGACACTGTTCTGGAATGGGTTTACTTTGGATGCGAGTTGCATCCGCCTTTTGTTTTTTGGGCGTAACGACTCCCGCTTGCAGGTTGCTAAGTGTGTTTGTTACTGACTTCAGCAGCTGCTGAGAGCTGCGCACCAGATCGCTGACCTCGCTATCCGCGGTAAGAGGCTGCTCATCTGCGCCCTCCTTATCCGGCTCCTGATCCAAAGGAAAGAGCTCCCCGTAATTGCCACACTTGCTTCCCGTGGGAGTATAGGTCTGCAGGTAATCGTACAGCCGGCCGCCCTCCGCCTGCCGCAGAAGCAGGAAGATCTTTTGCTCAGACTGGAAGTAGGCCAGTAACTGGACCATGTACGGCACCTGCTGGGGCAGAAAGATGCTCTGGGTGAGCGAGTTGCTGGCCGGCTTCTCGATGCCCTTCATAATGGCCGCCGGCTGCTGGGATTTCGTCACACACTGCACCTGCATCACCCGCTCTTGGAGCACCTGAAGCACTTTGTATCGCGCCAACTGGTTCCAGGGGCACTCCAACTGGGTCACACTTCCGCCGTCTGTCATGTCTAGTGAAAGCTGAAACTGAAGCTTCTTCGTGGGACAATTGTTGGCCAGAAAGTTAGAGTGTATCTCCTCGGCTCGGGCTAAATACTTTGCTATCTTGGCCTTGGCTATAAACCTACGCTCTTCGTTTGCATCCTGCTTCGCTCCGTGGAGTAGGAGGTCAACGCCATGCTTATAGCGCTCGTGGGCTTCGACGTACTCCAGATTGACTTCCGCTTGGACGGCATGGCTGAACTCCAGGGCCGCCTCGAAGATGTAGTCGCTATCATCGCTTTCTATTGAGGCCATGGGCGTGAGTAGTCGGAGGTAATCCCGCTTAGAAGAGACATCATCCGGCTTAGGTTCCGGTTTGGATTTCATTTCGTTTTCAGTTTCCTTGGCATGGACTTCAACGTTGTTCGGTTGCTCCTTATCGCAACGCGGATCTAAAGGCGTTATGCCCCCCGCATCGTGCGGATCATAGGGCAAATCGAGTTTATCGCAAATTTCCGCTATGGCTCCAGCCCCCGTTCCCGTTCCACCTGCTCCTCCACTACAACCAGTTTCCGCCGTTTGTAGCCGGAGGGTTCGCTCCACGTACAGCTTCTTAAGCGGCGATCCATTCGGAGACGGCGTCTCATGGAAGAACTGCGTAAAGGTGGAGCACTTGTACAGAGCCGGATGTTGAGCAGCAAAGTCCAGTAGCTGAAGAATATACTCCTTCCGCCGCTGGATGACCGCCGCATCGAATCGCTTGAAGTAGGAGCTGTCTGTGGGCACGGGTAACTTGCCGGGCAGCTGGAGGCTCTTGTGCCGCCGACTCAGCTCGCGATGCAGCCGCTTCACGTCGTGGAATCGTTTCCACACCACTAGACAGGTCAGAGCCTGGGGTACCGACCTCGGGAAGACCTAAAAGTAGAAGAGAATTGCTAATTGACAGTTTCTCGGCCCCCAAGTCGAACTTACAATCGACGTGATTTTGTATATCGTGTAGCCTCCCTTGTGCTCCTGCGTGTCCGTTACAGTGAAACTGTGGATCCAGCCACCCAGGTTGAGACTCATTCTGGCAGCTGCTGCGGCTCCTGGCGCCCTAATTTATAAACATATTTATTATATTAAACGTCGTTTTCTCCGAATATTGTTTTCGCAAAAACATTGGTAACAGTGTGACCAAAGCTTAAAAAGTCGCCTTTACTAAATTGTTTTCTTATTAAAAACCTAACTAAAACGCTAAAATTCTTAGTTAACAACTAACCTCATTTGGTCTAATTATTTTATTATTAAATATATGTTGTGATATTTCAAGAAAATGGTCTCATTTTTCTATTTCAAATTTAACGGTAACGGTATCTCGACAAAATCGATAGTAGGGCTGTGTCACCGCTATGGCTATATCAAAGCTATTTTTCCTAGCTCACAACCCAACCCGCGTCGGCGCACCACAGGCGTAATGGCTTTTTTAGGCCCTAATCGGGACATCGCCCATTAATTTTAGTGTTTTACCCGCCAACCCACACGGTCACACCGCTCGAGAAGTAGAGAAAAAAAGAAGGCGACGAATCAAAAGCAGCAAGCAAAATCGACGCCGCACGTACCGGGAGCATTTAAATAATTTTTTCTGTAGATTAATTTAACCGAAAAGGCTTCAACACAATGACTGAGCGCGAGAACAATGTGTACAAGGCAAAGCTGGCCGAACAGGCCGAGCGCTACGACGGTGAGTATTCCCCAAAATTAACAAAAAAAAAAAAAAAATGGTAGAAAAAAAAAACGAGTAGTGTGTAGAGGGGAACATTTTCTCGCCAGAGGAGCGCCAACGTTTTGGGGAGGGGTCCGAGAATTTTGATCCGTTGCGTCGTCGCGTGGTCGCTGAAAAGTCTCCAGCGCCTTCTTTTGTCCGAATTTGCTAATTGAAAAGTAAGGAAAACCGTCTGGCTGACGAAAAATGATGGAAATTTTAAATTTTCATCGATGTAGGTGCAGCCGAAGCGACGCAGCGTCGCGATGAGTAGTATTTCTTGCGAAAACGAAAGACGGGAGGAGGAGGAACTCGAAGAAGAAGAAGCAGAGCGTCGGAAGAAAGAAGAGGCGAAAAGAGATGAAAAAGAGTGTAAAACCTGATTTTTACCGGCAAAATTCGCGTGGTTTTCGCAAAAAGAGAAAGAAAAGGAATTGCGTATTATATTTTACAGCAAATGGTAGTTGGTTTTTTCGGAAATAGTATTAGTTAGTGGTAAAGAGAGGGAAATTTTATGTATTTGGCGTTGCGAACGAGGGCTGCGCGACGGCCAACATTTTCTTCCTTGGTTGCTAAGGGCTGTTTGTAGTTGTTTGTAGTTTTTTAGTGGCAGTTGTCAACGCGTAACTTTCTAGAAACGGAAACGACAGTTTTTTTTTTTTTTTCTTTTATTTAATATATTTATTCCACACCCAGAATCAATGCTCGAAGAGAAGGTGCTCTCTTTCACCCCCCGATTTTTACGAAATGTGCTTTTCATGCGCAGCAGCGGCGCGTCATCATGCCGTTGCTGCGAAAAATCGATGAATGAATCGATTGTGTCGCAGAGTTGTCGCCGGCCGCCTTCTCGTTCTTTCCCTTACTGCCACCTTCTCCCCCCTGGCTTTTCTTAATTCTTTATTCATGCAAATTAGTTGCGGCTAGTTGCAAACAGTTCTCCAGATACTTGGCAACCCTGTCTGATAGTGCAAAAAATATATAATTTTTCTGTTGCTCTCGCATTACTCATGCTTATGCGCATGTATGTGTGCGTTTGAGCGTGTGCGGAATGTTCGCCGGGCGGTTTTTATTGTTGCTTATATTTAATTAAAAATACTTCAATTAATTAAAAAGCAGCTCAAAATTTAAAGATAGGCGTGGGGGAGGGGGATGGCAAAATCCGCATTTGCGAAAAGCGCGCGCTTAACCAATTGGCATAGCTCCTGAGTGCGTTAAAACGAGATAACTAGTGTGTTTGTCTGTAGGCGACGCTGCACGCACACAGTGGCTGTAAAAAGTTAACAAACATTGTTTCTTTTTGCTGCTTTACGCTAGCAGCAATAATTGCAACAGTACTCTACTGCTAATTGCCTGCTAAACTGACAACATTAACAGGCGGCGGCAAAGAAGTCAATCAACTATTAGCAGCCACTGCTGCTAGCACACACAAACATACACTTTGGATATTTGTGTCTGTATCACATGTTTGTCTTCTTATTTTCGCCTGCTTGTGACTCTCTGTATGAGTTTGGAACACTTGGCGTTGGCCTTGTCGCACTTGGACATTTGCGGTGGGGCTCATGCTGGAGCACTAATACAGGCGCATATAAGAGAGCAGCGCCGCCAGCCGGCAATGTCTGCGCCCCCAATCTAAACTTGCCTCGCCCTCCGCCCCTTTAGTCGCCGCCCCTGCGCCCTTCCTTTTATACTCACATTAACGTCAGCCTTTAAGTGTGCTTTCTCAGGTGCTGTGCGCCTCTCTTTTTCGCTCTCAGCGTTCTATCTACATTTTTTTCGAGGTCGTGCGCTGCTTTTTCCGTTGATGTTCGTTCTCGTCAATGTCGTCAATATGCGAAAAAAATATAGCATACATAAAGTTGATTGATGGGCGGTTGGTGAGGAGGGGGTGGTGGTGGGTGTGTTTTGTTTGTTGCTCGTTTTTTGCTCAAATTGCACCATTTAGACGGACCTCCTCTGTTGTTGGTATTTCCTTTGTCTAATTACACATTCTACTTGCTGTAACGGTATGTGCGCATGTTTTTTCAGCTGCTGCGCCCTTATGTCTCACACACAAAAGCACCAGACACACCCACACGCCTACAGACGGCTGATAAGGAAGGGGATGGCTTGAAGGGCCAAATAGTGGTGGGGAGTTTAGGGGAAGGTAACTCCTGCCATATCCTTTTTGGCCCTCTTTTGACTTAATCTTTTATTGCAGCTCGCGTGGCTTTTTTTTGTGTTTTGGGTGGTGCGTGAGTTGGTGGTAGTCGGTAGCCTTTTTCAGTGCCCATCAAGGTTCATAAATACAATTTTCTTAGAACATGGTTCAATACTAACGCTTTTATATGTTATTCTTCTTGGCTCTTACTCCCTATTTAAAAAAGGTTACAGATAAAAAAATCGACTTATTTTGTCCCTTGTTTTAGCTGACTTTTTTAAAATATGCCAAGAAAAAAGTAATAAATAAATCTGAAAGACGTTTTAACTGCGGGAAGTTTCGAATTGGGTTTGCAAATGATTTGTTGTCATCTCTTTCGGGACATAGTCTTTATTTTTGGTCGTATTATTGATTTTTGCCTTTCTATATGTATAATATGTAGTGACTATGCTTTCGCGCATGTCTCATAATTGGTAATGGTTTACTACTAAGCAACATGTGCTGTATACTTTTAAAGGTAGGAAGATCCCAAAAACTCACAGTCCACCTCCCCCTGCCTTATTATCCTGTCCTCCCTGAAGTTCATTTTTCAGCCTCGGTGGCTGTGTTGAACAATGCGTGAGCACTTTACGCAGTGCACTCATCTTTTGAGTTTCGAAAAACACCCGTCAATGCAAACAACCGTATTTGAAGTTCATCTGAAACCGCGAAAAATTGTGAATCATGATGAAACTTTATTGGCAATTTTTCACAAATACGTGCTACAACAACAATCACACCGACAGTCGGCAAATTCCCGCTGCGAGTGTGAGGGAACTGGGCGGCCGTCTGAGTGGGAAATACGTCAGCAGCTGACTGGGGCAACGGGTGCGAGCGGGAAAGCAGCAAGTGCAAGTCAGCAAAGGAAACAAAAAGCGCTAGAATTACAATATTTTTTTGCACTGCATCATATTGTTATCTACTAAACACATCCGAGCTAGGTAATCAGCAACTGCTTTTCACCAGACTGCACAGAAAGAACCGATATTGATCAACTTGATGGTTTTATATGTTTGGCACGGGAACGAGAATATTTAAATCTTTATAATTATAAAAAAGGCTACAATATTCAGCAGTGCTGTACTTACTTAAAAAATGAAAAATCTATTTTAATTATAGGAAATGTAAAATCTATCTTTTAAATAAGAACGGCGTACTTTGATTTGATAACAAGTAACTGCCTTTATTTTTGGGAGGGGTTCCAAGCATGTGATTCATGACGCAGTTTTAGAATGGTGATGCAGAAGGAGATAGAGATTTCCGATGGGTCCAATAGACGGGTGCAACAATGTGGCGGAAACCGTTATCAACAGCTGATTAAGAGGGACTGTAGCTGTATGACAGAATCGTTTAAATCGGGCATATACGCAACGCCCAGTTATGCAAAAATACATGTGCATGACTTATATATCGTTATGAATTGGGCGTGTCGCTGATAAGAGAAGAGGTAGACTATACGCAGATAGCAAGGACAAAGAAAATTGTATTCTTTCATTTTGATCCTTGGCTTAACTTATCAATTTTTACGAACGATTTTACAAAATGTATTTATTGTGTATAAAATCATATACTACTTTATAAGTAAACATAGCGAATGCCCTTATAGTTCTCGTTCTCGTTATAAAAATAAAATTGTTATAAACTATTTCTTTAAGATAGAACAGATAGTTTTAAAACGATGAATCATTACTTTTTTTTGGTTTTAAGTTTAATAAAAATTATTTTAAACAGTCGTCTTCTGAGTCAGGTTTCACAATTGGGAAATAATAAAATGATATACATTAATTAATTTCCAAAGAGTCATATATTTTTATTATGTTTATTTATCAAGTTCCTTTCGTATTTCCAAGCTAAATGATTTATATAAAAATATGTGTCACTTGATGACCGTTTTAAAAACAATATACCATGGTTTAGTGCAAATTGATATTTAATTCCTTCAATTTCCAGGTTAAATGGGACGGAACATTCTGGCTGCTTAGTTCAACTTGAGTATTGATTACCCTTTATTGCCCTTTTCAGAAATGGTGGAGGCCATGAAGAAGGTCGCCTCCATGGACGTCGAGCTGACCGTCGAGGAGCGAAACCTGCTGTCGGTGGCGTACAAGAATGTGATTGGAGCACGCCGAGCCTCGTGGCGCATCATCACCTCCATCGAACAGAAGGAGGAGAACAAGGGGGCCGAAGAGAAACTGGAGATGATCAAAACCTACCGGGGTCAGGTGGAGAAGGAGCTGCGCGACATCTGCTCGGATATACTGAACGTGCTCGAGAAACATCTCATTCCATGCGCCACATCCGGCGAAAGCAAAGTATTCTACTATAAGATGAAGGGCGACTACCATCGCTACCTGGCAGAGTTCGCCACCGGCTCGGATCGCAAGGATGCGGCGGAGAACTCGCTAATTGCCTACAAGGCGGCCAGTGATATAGCCATGAACGATTTGCCCCCAACACACCCTATTCGCTTGGGCTTGGCATTGAACTTTTCGGTGAGATTATGGCCTCATTTTAGTCCCGTCGAAACCTTTTCTTACATTTTGATATTTTGGATTGAATCAGGTGTTCTACTATGAGATACTCAACTCGCCGGACCGCGCTTGCCGATTGGCGAAGGCCGCTTTCGATGATGCCATTGCCGAGTTGGATACGCTGAGTGAAGAAAGCTACAAAGACTCGACACTCATCATGCAGCTGCTGCGGGACAACCTCACATTGTGGACGTCCGATATGCAGGCAGAAGGTAAGTCATAAATAAACCTATTTGATCGCCTCCGTTATTAAGTTCTAAATATTATACTAAGAAGTAGACCCCAACGCAGGTGATGGCGAGCCCAAAGCAGAAATCCAGGATGTTGAGGATCAGGATGTGTCGTAATTTAAGTAAACCCCCGCCCTTCCATTTAAAACACATTATATACCTTCTAAAGTAAATATAATAACATATAATATATATGCATACAACAACAACAAGAACACGACAGCAACATCAACAGCAACAACACGGAACCAACACGGCAACAGCAACAACAACATCCGCAACCAACAACGAACGAAAACAATAGCAGACGAGGGTAAAAGAAGCAGCAGCAGCAACAAAATAAACAACAAGCAAACCAGCAAGCAACAATATTTCATCAACAATAAACAACATGGAAAACAACAGCACAAAAACAGAAAAAAACCAAACAAAATGTTTGAAAATTGGGCGGCCTGGTGGGCGTGGCATGACTGTTGCTGCGGCAAGAATAGCAAAGCAAAAAATTCGCGGCATTTGTTTTTGTCGTCGTCTTGCGCCGTGGGTCCTCCACGTTAGAAAACTGCAACATCAACTCTACTACATTTGAAATTTTTGCATTCGAGAAACAAAGCATTATATTATATTTAAATAAATATTATATTTAATTATGAGAAGCAAAAAACAAAACAAATAAACTTCATTTAAACCACAAAACAAACAAAAGAAAACGAAAGCCACACTTAACGAAAATTGAGAAACAATCATAATCACACCAGCAAATTACGAAGCAAATTTCATCGAGTTGGCATGCATTAATTTTTAAACTTTAAAAACAACAGCAACACGTAAAATACAACTTTAATTTTAAGCCAATAAAAAACGTGAGAACGAGGAAATTAAAACGAAAACGATTTAATAAGCGCAAACGTAAAAAATAAAGTCGAAAATGTAAGGAAAAAATACAGCAATTAATTTAAATTTAATACATAAATAAAACGTAAAAGAGGTAAATGAAACGAAATGAGCAAACAGAATGCGAGACGCAAATAAAGCTAAAAACTATATTAAATGAGAAAAAGGAATGTTAGTTAAGCGAAATTCAAAACGAATTCTTAAGCTTAAATTTGTATGTATGTAAGTGTACTGTTCAAACACCGACACACTCGCACACACATACTTTCGCCCACACGCACACAGACACCTAAATTACGCATACGAACCGTTTGTTTTCTCTTGGCGTTTCCTTGCTCTCACTCACATACGCACCCATATTGGTAATTTGGCATGGTCAAATCCAAAAAATCGAACGCAAAATAATTGGTTGATATTTGTTTTTCGCTTTTCGTTTTGTGTTCTCCATCGCAATTGCAAAAATTTTTCTCATCTCTTACCTTGCGCAAAAAAGAAAACATATTAATAATATAGAAAAGTATTTGTAGTTGCTAATACAAAAGAAAAAATACAAAAAAAAGAAAACAACGGTACATATATATATTGTATACATATATACTTGTATATTTTCTATGCCTACCACTTATGTAATTTGTAGAGATTCCAAACTTAACCCCCGAAACTTGCCCCTCCAGTAATCCAGATCCCTTTCCAAAATTTTCCCAGCATTTAAACAGAAACCTGAATCCCTGGACAGAAACCGATACTTTAACCGACGAAATATCATTTGATTTATCTTAAATCGACTAAAAGAAAAGCACAAACAAGAACATGATCAACGGCAGCATTATCTGTAGCGTGTTTGCGTGATTAGCGAAAGAAAAATAGAATGACATAATGAGCAGCTACAGCTAATGAATTTTCGCATAAGGTTTTTCACAGTTCTTTTCTATTTGATTTATAAATGAGGCGCGAAAAAAAGAAGGCAGACTAATTTCGCAGTCGCTAAATAGAAAAAACCTGTGCAGAAAGTTAATTAAGCATAAATCAGCCACAGCAACCAACAACCGCAACATTCTTGAACGGAACACCAAGAGCAATACAAGAAGACAGAAGCTAAAACTGACATTCGTATTCATTTCAAATAAAAATCATTAAAAAAAAAACAATTGGGCATCACAATTTATTATTAATTGATTTTCGGGCTCGTGTGCTAAAGGGGTTGTGAAATGGGCAGAGCCAATCAGCGCAACGTATAAAAGTAAGCGGAAGTTTATTTTATCAGCACAGGCCATAGTCTTCAATGGATAGTTAAAATATTCTGACGAGAGTCGCCTATTAATATCTATTAACTTATTACAGGTTTTAATAAAATTTGACCGAAGAAACTTGCAGTAAACTACAGGTTTTTACACAGGAAACACAATTTTGGCACGGGTTTATGTTATTTGTATATTTTGGAAAAAAAAAACCTAGTTCAAACCTTAATGTGCTAGACAAATAATTAATTAAATTTTGTTCATTATCTGTTAAATCTAGATAAGTGAAACATTTTTTCACATTTTTGGTGGTATCTACCGATTGTTAACTAGCCCACAGTAAGAAGAAACTATCTTTGTTCTTAGCTCAGAAAGGGCACAGTTTGGAAGATAAATGCGACAAACTAAATCAGCATTCTTTACTCAGCACAGGAACGTCGACGCTTCTGCGTCAAATCAGAAGTGTCCACTTAAGCTCAATGTCATACTGGCCAGCACTTTCGTTGGCCCAGAAGCAACAAGAAAAGTGGGTCTATTGGCTATTGTTTTCCGCCTGCTGATTGGCAAAAGCCATATACATATACAAATGCTTACATATCTATATTTGAAAATCTAGACAGAAACTGGGCAGCAAAGGCTGAGAAATAGCAAAGGGCTCAACAGCGGATTAGTTGCAAAACGTTGCTCGAGTCTCGGAGATGGCACTGCAGCTGCAAATCGAGAAGCTCAAGGGTTTGGACAACTACAAGGCCTGGTCGATGACGGTGCGGGCGTATCTGGAGTCCGAGGAACTTTGGACGGTGGTGGAGAATGGTCCCGAGAACAACGAGGAGGTGAGTGGTTCACACAGGTATTTAGAAAATACGTTCCCATGGCGCATCATCGTTGCAGTCCCTGCTGAAGGACAAGCGAGCCAAGTTCTTGATTCTCTGCCTGATCGAGACCAAGCTCTGCCAATTCATGGTCAGCATCCGAACGGCCCGGGATCTGTGGAACTATTTGCGCACCCAGCATTCGCTGCGCTAGAATCAAATTGACCAGTTTCAGGTTAATGTATTACAAATATATATGAATTACAGTTTACATGCTCTTAGTGCTGTTTCCCTAAGACTCCGGAAGTTCGATAACCACGGGTTGGTCCTCGGGATCCTCGTCCAGCAGGCCCTCAAAGGCCCATCCCAATTTTTTCTCCAGTCGCTTGGTCAGTCGGTCGGCGCTGACACTTAAACCACCCGCATGCAGATTGACCAGCAGTTCGCGTACATCTTTGTAGACGGTATTTTGAGGACTTGGCACCATGAGCTCCTCGGGCAAATGAGGCAGCTGATGGGCCAGTACCTCGCTGTACTTCATGTACGCCAGTTTGTGTTTGGTGACCGCCGATTCCGAGTGGGCCAGCAGGCCGAGAAGCTTACGCCAGTGGGCTAGAGACTCCACGGAGTAGCCCACTAGGAAAAATACGTAGGCCAGCTGCAGCTCCTCAATAAGTCCGTCGGCAGAGCCGAAGCCTTCGAGCACCTTGTCCACAGCTTCTATGCAGTCCATGGCGTGCCTGGAGACATCTGCGGGCGGGGCATCCTGCGGAACACGCTGAGGAACGCTACTAAAGCGGGGAGCAGTTCCCTCTACGGGTTTCAAGTCGGGCAGCAGTTCGCTTTCATCTAACAGCAAACGGGCGGCAGCATTCCGCCGACTGATACTGCTTGTTCCCGCTCCTCCCCTGGGTCGATCTGCATCTGGGCAGGACTGTAGTTCGATGTTTGTGCGAATGGTTCCTTTGGCCGGACGACAACGCTCAACGCACGGCTCCGTCACGCTGCCGGTGAGCTCCTTCCATTGGACCACGTATCGGTAGTCGTAGGGTGCGAGAACCCGCTCCAGTTGGGCCAAGTTCTTCCGTATTCTGTCTCGCTCCACCTCCGGTTCTGCGATCCGTCGCGGACGAAGTTCCTCCAAATCGTGGTCCCATTCGCGCACTACAATCTCGTTGGGATGGAAAAAGTGTACGAAGCCAACACGAGGAGCCGCATCGCCATAGGGGCCACGGGAGGAGCACCACACGTAGTGGACACCAGGCGGAATCATCTTGACGCCCCTGAAATCCGGACCAATTGTGTAGGCGCACAAATCAATGCCAAATTCCGTGCCCTCGGGCACACCTGCGATGGCCAGGACACCACCATCGGCTAGCAGGCGCAGTGCCAGCTGAGGGTCCATCTGCATGCTGGAATTATCCTTGTTCATTTTAAGTTAATGATTATTGTCAATTATTTGCGGGAAATAAAAAACAATAGTAAATGCGGCTGTTTCAGATGGTTGCCAGACATGCGGACACATCGATAATTTTAAATGTCAACGCCTTGAGCAGTCCGGCAACATTGGAATATCCGCAAAATTTTATAGCGGTTAATTCAAACTATTCTTTGTCTTTTTAAAAATAAATCAAATAAATATTTCACAGCCTTCTACCTAAAAATTCATATTTTAATATTAAGTAAAAGGTTGATAATAATAGAAAGCATAAATCATACATTGCTTGACTTTATATTTTATCCAGACCATTATTGTATACCTATGCTATATATGCTTAAGTTATTCGTAGTGATTAGTATTGCAAGCTGCGTTTTGTACCGATATCGTCAAGAATTTGGCGCAGTTCCTCATCTTCGAAACGCCCTTCCAACGAAGGAATCAGTGCCTTGGCCTCTTCTGGCGCCTCGGGACATAAGTTACCGAGAGCGGCCAGTTCAAATTTGTGCAGTTTTTTCTGCATCAGCAAGCTGGAAAGGTAAAATTCATATATTTTCGTTCAAACGGGCATATCTCAAAAGATGTGACCTACCTTCGAACAGACATTATAGTCTCCTTGTTCTTAAACTTTCGAAAACTATCCGTGTAGGCATACGTTTTCATGAAGACCTCAGAGAACTCCTGCTCCTCGTCGGCGGATTCGTTTTGGCGTTTGCGATGATCCAGCAGCATATGCACCTCCGATATCAGCAGCGTCTCGGCATTTTCGAACTCTGGAAGAGACACAAAGCGATCGGTGTTTTCTAGTTATTAAATGAATCCACGCAATTTACAAGTGAAACTTTGGAGAAAACCTAAAGGCTAGCCGTAGGAAGGCGGCCGGCTAATGTGGCCGTGTTCCAGCAGAAAATCATAGATCTGACGTGTTTTGTTCACATCTATCTTAATGAGCCGTCGCGCATCGGCCAGACGCAGATATCCGAGTTTGGTGTGCTCCGAAACCAATTGATTCTTGTATTCTAAATACGATTGGGGAACTATGCGAGCCACACTGCAGAGCTTTCGCTCGCCCTCGTCCAGTTTAGAGTAACCAGGGAGATCTAGATATAAAAAAAGAGAAACTTGTAAGTGACTCCTCGGAAAGCATGCTTAGGTTTCATACCTCCAATCTCAATGGGACTGGCTTTGCGGCGGGTGTTCAGGGCATACAACTTCGAGCTGATGCCCAGCGGCAGTTGTTCTCCGTTTCTGTTGCTCTCGTAGTGCTGCACCAAATGTTGCCAGTCGAAGGCATCCATCTGCTTCTGCCTGCTATAATCCCGCTGCACCTGCTGACGCTCCTTGTGTAGGCGATAGTATAGTTTGGCCCCAGAATGAGTGCGAACACCGTGCTGCCGCAGATCGTAAAGCTTGTGCAGTCGGGTGTGCAGCTCGCGGCAATAACGAAGGGACTCCAGAAGCATGTCGAACTGAATGGGATCTGGACAGATCTGCATGAACCCCAAGAAACGCATGCAACTTGCATCGCTGCTGAAGGCGTGCATATACTTGGAAATCCAGCTGACTGTACGATTGGGCATGATGAGGCCGTGTTGACGCATAATATTATAACGACGTTGGCGTTCTCTATGGGTTAAAGCGGATTTTAATGTTGCTAACAACTAGGGAACACCAAGGCAAGGCTTCCTTTTTTAAAATTTTTTTAAATTATCAATAATGCATACCTAAGACGATTGTTGTATGCCCGCACCAGTCCCAGCTGCAGTTCTTCGGTCACCCCTTGCTCCGCCTTGCTCTCTGCCGCCTCCTGATTTTCATACCTGCCTCTGTGATCCACCATAATGGAAAGCAGACTTTCGGCGGAGGTGTCATAAGGAGTGTCGAAGTCGCTTCTTGCACATCGATATCCTGCACTTAGCTTAAACTGCATAGATGCAATGTCATCGTGGCGCGGTGGATCCAGACTCCGCATTTTGAAGACATACGGCATTCTCTCCGGAAGGTAGCAGTGCCTCGCATGGTGCAGTTTGAGCAGACGCTCAAAGATCCCGCCAAAATAGCAATCGTGGTAGTGGCGCCGCACTTCCGATGGATCATGCCGCCGGTCCAAAGCCTGAGATACCGCCTCCCAGTTGCCGTAGCCTTGGGTGCGCAATGTTTTTAGCAGAATGCGCTCCTCCCGGGCCGTCCAATGTGGTTCCTCGGCGAAAACTTGTATGCTGTCGCGGACTATGATGTAGGCGTGATTATTGCGATGCGAGGAGGCCTCCCTTCCGCGCGAGAAACACTGCAGGCACAGCATAGTGTCCAGGCACTCGGAGCACTTAATGTAGGGCTCCACTAGGTTGGCCCGACACGTGGCACAGCGACTGGAGTCACTTAAAGCCGCAGGAGCCCTGCTATTCTCATCTCGCGCTAGTTCCTCCAGGAGCTCCAGTTGACGGTGCAATGTGTGAGGGCTGTACAAAACCGTTTTGCTCCTGGTGTTCCCATCTTGACGGGCATGCACAAACCGCTGGACCTGATCCCCCAAGAGCTCAACTGCAAAGAGGCAATTCAATGTGGTAAACATGTGGAGGAGCCCCGATTTTCGGGTACTCGAAGCCAAAGATCTTCAGCCAGTTTCACTTGTAAGTTGGGATTTGGTTAGTGGGGGCGTTGGTTACCTTTGGGAAACTGCAAGTCGGCGGCATCCTCGTCCACCATGTCCACGGGGTTCATGAAAGACATTGTTAACTGCTTTTATGTCACTTTTTAATAATAATTTGTAGTTTTTATGCGTTTAGAAGAAATGCCGCTGTTTTAAGTGATGGCCAAATGTGGACGATAGGTAGCCAACAATTTATCGATAGGTTAACCACTTACGATGGTCACACTAGTTCGCATGCACAGTTTTGTTCTGCATTTATTTATTAATGGAATTCTACGCGTTTTTCCACGAAAGTAATGTCGCAAGAGCCAGCAGTCGCTGCCCCAATTACCCCTGAATACTGTCACTTCTTCAAGACCCTGCTGGTCGAGGAACTTGAGCTTGAAAACAACTATCTGAGGCTACATTACGGCCAGGCCGCAATCATTGGACGACTAGCGTTGCAGTCGGCACACTTTTTTTTGGAAAACGTTCGCGTTAGAAGTCTGCCAGAGTGAGTTTAACTAAGCTATGCACTCATTAGTTCGTGATACTCATATTTCCCGCCCATTCAGAAATTGCTCCTTGCCCGAGGGCGCCGTATCCTTGCTCCTTTTGGGACTCACCCGCGAGAAGGCCATCGAACAACGCGTGAGTACCGGCTGCTATTGCATTGTGCGCGGTGAAGTGGTCCTGTGCAACGTCCTGCATTCCAACAGTTCCACACTGACCGCCCGAGGAGTAAACGAGCAGTTTGCTAGTCTGGCCCATGATCCGATTGCCCAGAAACAGTTCCTCAGCAAGCTACGACTAACACACAAACCGGCCATCGATTTGTGGTTCATCCAGCCCATCGACAAACCAGAAGATCTGCTGACTCGCAGGCTAAAGATTAGGGGGCTGACCGTGAGATGAACACACACTACCTCACCACTTCGCGAACCAATCCGCAGTTCTACATATTCAGCCAACTCTTTGGGGACGACACCACTTGGAGCAGCTGCGATTGGGAAAGCATTCAAAACGCTTCCTGGCAGGAATTCTGGCAGCGTGAGGGGCACGAGCTCCTCGAGCAGAAGTGGCACAAGCGATTTCCTGAATACAAAGACCTTATCGAAAAGGTCACGTCGGAGGAGCAGGCGCTCTGGCAGGAACTGTGGGAGAAGCACGCCAACGATTCGAGTTGCAAGTTCTGGTACATTTTCAGCTGTGCATTTGAGAACTACCAAAATGAATTGGTCAAATCATTTGGAGTTAACTTCAATGGGACTTTAGATGTTATTGAACAGGATTTACAAAACCTAAGCGTTACCAGTACGACGAAAAAGTCAAAACAGCGAAAGCCCTCGGCAAGCGAGGAGCACGAATCTTATCTAACTGCCAACGACGACCCTGAAGAGTTAGACGAGCTACAGCAGCTACTTCTTTTGGGACTGCCCACATCGTTTGCGTCAAAAACACATAAAAACCACAAGCAGAGAAGGCAAATAACTGAATCTTCTGGCAGCGAAAGTGAGGATAGTGAAGATCTTCTAACCATGGAAAACGATGAAAACCGAGCGCTACACCGCGTTCAAAGCGGTTTCATACAGAGGAACAAACGCAAGCAAAGGCAAGTTGACAAACTCCGGGCCAGGATGCCCGAGTTCATGCTGGAGGAGAACGGCCAGATGGTCAAGTACTGGTTCAAACGTTTCTCCTTGTTTTCCCGCTTCGACCGGGGCATCCGGCTGGATCGCGAGAGCTGGTTCTCGGTGACGCCCGAGAAGATTGCCAAGCAGACGTCCCGACGACTGGCCTGTGATCTGATCGTTGATGGCTTTTGTGGATGCGGTGGTAATGCCATCCAGTTTGCCAACACCTGTGGCCGAGTCATCGCCGTTGACATCGATGCCGAGAAGCTGGCCATGGCCAAGCACAATGCCAGCATTTACGGAGTGGCCCACAAGATCGAGTTCATTCATGCCGATTTCCTGCAGTTTGCGGCCAGCACACGGATTCGCCCGGATGTTGTATTCCTAAGCCCTCCCTGGGGTGGTCCCGACTACCAGAAGCAGGCCAACTTCGACATAGAGAAAAGTCTGCTGCCCGTGGGCGCCAGCAAACTAATGCAGCTTTCCCGACGACTGGCAAGTGACGTTTCCTTCTTTCTGCCGCGCAACGCAAACATGAGCCAGGTGATCGCCTTAAGTGGACCGGGTCAGCAGTGCGAGGTGGAGCACAACTATCTTGACACTCGAATGGTCGCCCTGACTGCCTATTACGGTAGTGGGATTATAAAGCGTAGTTAATGTCATGTAGTTTTATTTAAGCTAAAAATGAGGTTTTTATATAATTTGATGATTACCAATTAATCGTTAGTGATATAAACTACAATGTGTATCAGCATATGTTTTGGTATCGTTAAATTTGAAAGATTCTTAAAAACTATTATTATATGTTTAATTCTGAATTCAATGTTTTATTTCGATTTACTTAATTTAAGTGAGTAAGTAATAAGACATTCAGCGGCGGTTTGATCAGAACCCTTTAAATATTATAATCTTTTAGTAAAACATAACTTTCAAAAGAAACCCAAGATAATCGAAATATCTAAATAAAATGTTTAGTTAAGTTGTACATATGTACAAGGAACAATGTATATATGAACAAAATATATTTACAAATCAATGGTAATCGTTTTGTCAGAATCAAAAGTACCTTTCAGAACTGATGTATTTAAAAGTTATAATTTGAGTATCCTAAGCAATGAAAACTTTCTGCTGTGAAACATTTTAACTGATATGTATATTCAAAGAATACTTTTTGCTAAAACCACAGGATGCAAGTAAAAAGAATGCCAAAAATCCTTGTAATTATGCATCAAAGAAACATGCAACCGTTATTCCACGTTTTTTGTTCATTGTTTATCCTCTTAAGTTTTTGGCTCCCATTGCCTCACGGATTGGAGAAAAGTTGACTAATGAATAAAGTCGCCTCGTATGTAGCACACCAGAAAAGAGTTTTTTGTAACCCATCTAGTCGTTTGTGTGCGTTGCTTGTTGATTGTTGCCAAGTGACCGGAGATGCCAACGAGTCCGAGCTCTTTAGCCAATTTAGACAGCTTAACAAAAGCTCAACTGACCACTGGTCAATGGTCATAACCATAACGTTCCCCAAATCCCATCTTTCAACTCGCTCTGGACTTTTAATTAAAAAGAGGAGGAAACAAAAAGTGCGTCAATTTTTAAGAACTTTGTGACTTTGGCAAAAGCATGAGGGGAGTGGAAAACGATTCCTGAACCTGGCAACGTCGGGCGGGGGCAATTAACATGTTCGTGTCACAGCAGGAGCAGCAGCTTCTCCGGAATTCCAAAGCAGACAACGAGCTACCAGAAGCAACAACCCTTTTCATGGCTTACAGGATACTTAGGGCCATCGAATGGGGTGAGTTCGGTTAGAGGGGTAACGGTGGAGGCGGGGCATGTGCGGAATTTATAGCTGCCAACTGGCAACGGAGATATTTTCGCCCCTTCACTTCCCTATTGCGGCAAGTGCCGCAATTAGTTTGATTAACTTATTAGTGTGCGTCGGAACAACTTGGGCGAAATTTGGAGCATACTTCTCAGCGCTGATTTGTGGGATGCCACGTGAATGGTGGATACTTTCGGGTCTGGATAAATGCTATAAGCACGGCTAAGGGAGCGTCGATTTGAGGCCGTACAGTAAGTTGTGAACGATTAGGAAGACTTTCATAAGATCTGCATTTCTTCAGAAGCTTTCTAAAGCCAAGTAATTGTTTATTGGTCCACCATTTTGGGAAGCTTTTGGGAAATCAAGAAAAACTTATAACGGAATAAGAAACCGGTTATAATTGCTTTTTCTGGAACTCAAATCGTCTGCCCAAAAATGTTGTGACTAATAAAGTTTATATTGACATTCACTTACCTTTTATACTTCAATACACCCCCTCGATAAACATTGAGAAGCAAGCTTCGTTGTCGAAGATAAAAAGCTGACTTTTATTGTTATTAAAATACCGGGGAATTGCTCGTCACGCGTCAACATCGGCATTATCAGCTACTTAAATCTAAGCTCCCCATCCAGAAATGCTTTCTGGTTTCAATTCTGGACCACCGTTATCCTTTATTAGGTACACGTAATTGTCGTTTTAACAGTCGCGGACGAGGGGTTGACAATGCTAACAATTTCAATATGCTGGCTGGCGGCCCATAAAAGGCAGGCATCTCTCTAAATATATATATATAGAAATATATTTTATTAGAAAGCAAACACGTGTTCACAGCTCATCTCATCGTGTGGCAAGTGGCTGCGTTCGCCGCTTGGGCAAAAAACAAATTAAGTCACCCTTTTATTACGCTATTTAATTTCCAGCGTAATGTTGTCAACCTTCTTGACAAATGGTCACCCAAAACAACGAGGCCCTTCCATCCACATTCACCCCTCGACTGACAGCCTGTTTGATCTGTAATTTGCACCACTTGATGATGGCTTTAGCCGGGAATCCGGACTCGAATCCGGAGTCGCTAAGCGGCGAGGTGGTTTATTTGTGCCGCAAGTTGCGACAATGCGGAAATGCGATTACGGCGTGCAGTCCATGGGAACTGTGGAAAATGCGATTGTTCGGCTCCGGGTGCAGGTGCAGATGCTTCATGGGCTCATCAAATTAGGATGGAGGGGTTGTAATAATTGCCTACTGATTTATAGCAGATCCTTGGATCTGCTCTCTGTAAACATTGATTCAAAACAGAATGTTGGCGTAGTGGTTGGATTTTCAAGGTTTAATTACACAGGTCCGCAGAATCCGGACATTGTTTGCACCGGAATTAAAGCTACTGATTCAAAAATGAAAACTTTTCATCAAGTCCCAGCATTGAGTGCTGAAAGTATTAATTGTTCGGCTTATACGAAGGTACTTTTAAAAGCTTTATATGTAAGTTAATTAGTCACTCATTAATTTTTGTCACCTGTAACATTTAAGCAGCTTTACTAAGTCCTACAAATGACTTTATAGTTAAATATTTTATAATTTTTATCAAAACTGAAGAGAGTCATTAGTTCTAAAATTATATAAAAATGGTTTTATTTTTGTTATTATTCAGCTGACAGAAACTTTAAATTGTATTATCTAAATCAAAAAAATGGGTTTCAAAAACTCTTCAAGTTTTAACTTTGAAATATGTTTTTTTTATTTTTATTTTTTTTTTTAATAAATTTATATACATTTTTTTGATGTTTTCTCTATGTTTAACGAAATTAAATTTAAAGAAATCATTTGTTATTAAAAATCAAAGAAAGAACAATTATACAAAAGTAAGTTTTTATTCATCTGCCGCGCTGTGATTGCAACTAAATGGTGGCACTCCACATATTGATTAACCGTTTTTCATTTGGTGGCAGCCATTAAAATTAATAAACGTTACAAGAGCAGCTACAACAAGCAAGGCAACAACAACAAACAGGAAACCAGCAGCAATTATATACACCAGCATCATAAAGATGAAGGAAAAATGTGAGGGGAGGAAAAATAGAGGGAGAGAAACAGAACAGTTATCCGCCCACTTGCCATTGATGGGCAATAAAAAAAGTCAAGTAGAGCGCAAAACAAGAGCAATAATATTTAATAAATGTGCACAGGGCCGGGCAATATTTATATGTATATAGTATGTGTATGGATGAAATTCCTCTTGTTGTTGGTGGTGGTTGAATGCGAAAAAAACCATAAATAAATAAACGAACTTACACCCACACACTTACATGTAAAGTTACAATGTGTTCTTCTACCACACTTAAAAATATATACAATTCAAACTATTTTCAACAATTGAAGTGATTTGTCATAAACATAAATAGCCAAAATAACTTCCTAATACATTTTTTTTAATTAATGCATTTATAAAGCAAGTTAAATAATATTTGTAAATATTTTAACTGTCAATAGTTTGTGGTACTGTAACGAATTAAAATTGTACTTTTTTTTCAGTTTTATAATAATATATAATTTTTCGTAAAATAATATATTCCCGGCTGAACTTTATAAGCTGAGAAATGTTTTATATAATTGTTTTAAGTGTTCCTTCCCCCTCTCCATTTTCCCGTTTTCCTTAGCATAGGTAGGCAGACTCTATGTAGGTGGATGCGACTGTGTGTGTGTGCCATGCATTTTTGGTTGAATACTTGAGAGCAGAAGAGGCAGCAACAACAACAATATGGTAGTTAGAGAGCCGCTCACTTACAGGAAATCCAGACCACCCCACCCCTTTCCCTTACCCTCCCACGCAACATCATTCTTCATGGCATTTCGGTGAAAAAGAATGCTTTTGATCTTCACAAGCGAATGATTTTTAATATGACTTTTTTGTGTTGTTGTTGCCTACAGGGGGTGGATTTTCCGGGGAGAGTGGTGGCTGAGAAATACGGCTGTGGGCGGCGAAAATATGTTTGAGCCATGGGAAAGTAAAGTGCAGCAGCAGTCAATCAAAAGCGGCAGAGCATTTATTATACTTTTTTTGTTGTGTACATACACATAATGGCTGTGATAATTAATTAGCTTAATTAAATACCAATGCAAGTGCAGCACACGCACATACAAGGTTGTTTCACCGCAGCGCCTAAAATTAGGCAACGTTTGAATTTGCGAAGTTTAACCGAGGAAAGGGAGAGAAAGGAAGCACTCGCATAATGATGGTAATTTGTTGGTTTCGGCAAAAGAGCAAACGGCATCCTTGGAATTTCAATTAATTTCCATAATTTCCAACGCTTTATGAGCGAAGAAGCGAGCACTTAAGAAGGCAAGACAGAGACGGCGAGTGAGAAGAGCGAGCGCGAGTTTTCCTTATCGAAGGGGATGATTTTTTCTGCCCTGTTGTAGCTTTGTGTGTGTCCTTTGTCCGTGGGTGATTTTTCCCGCCCAGTCAGCCGCCCAGGACCCCATCGCTGAACGTTAAATGATTAGAAAAGTGTGCCCGAATCGCATCCTGGCTCAGGTGAAAAGGCTTTTAGCCCTGTATTTAAACGGCATTAGCTAACTGTTATTCAAAGCTCACAAATACTTTTTTGTATTTTACACTTTTATGGCTTGCTAAAATGTAAACGAACCAAAGGCTTAAACTATGTATTTAATACTGTAATTTATAAAATATTATTTGCCAGATAAAGATTTATTTAAACTCGTTAGTAGCAATATTAAATTTCGTTTCCGTTTAGTTATAATTCTATCTTTTGCATTTATTTAACTCGTTACTCGAAGAGTAAAAAGGTATATTGTATTCGTTGAAATTAATGTAACAGTACTGCCCTGTCCGTCTGTTTTATTTTTGCCTATGCAGAGCACGTTTTTTTCAAAATGTGGTAGTATCGAGATATGTATGTGTGTTTCGGTCATAACTATTGATAGACACAAACATTTTTAAAATCGAGCTATTATTTAAGAAGTCATTGGCAAAATGTTCTGTTATTGAGCTCTAATAGTTATTGAGCTCCACTAATTTGTTTTTTCTTGATTTTTTGTATTGAATACGTGAAAACTGGTGAACATAAGTGTATGTTATTATTATCTGATTATTCCTTTATTTAGTTTATTGCTCGATATTGTGTGCTTTGAAGTTAACTAATTTAAGGATAAGAAAAATAACAAACTCATATTTTCTCAAAAACCGCATTACCATTTGCAGCAGGGCAAACAATTTTTAATTAAAACCGAAAGTCCCTCTAATTGGTTTCCCCAACAATATGCAATTATAAGCGCAGTTATTAGTGCTGCGAACATAACCAAATACATTTTCAATTAAAACAATGACAGGCCACCGTAAAGTCTGTTTAGGTTTTGCATTATTTTTGCCATAGCAAAATTGAA